TGCCAGCGGTGGAAGGCTGTTAGCGCCAAAGGATGGCACGACTGCCAAACAACGACTGGAGGGAAACTCACAATGCATGTCGCATGACACGGATAATACGGTCCCCTCTTTAGTTCTCTTTCCAAGCTCAAAGGCTTTCAGTCTGTGCAATGTGCGCGTGCCGGGCCTTTTCTGACTCCGACAAATGCCACAGGGGCGTAAAAGGAAACGCAACATGCTCAAGGACGTCGTGAAAACAATTGTCGACTCAGACGAAACTTAACATGGGATTTGCATACTGCATGGCAGGCCCTGGAGGATGAGAAACGGCCGTAAACTGGTGGAATTTCGGCTCCATCTCGGAACCTTTCAGCCTGAACAACGCACCGCAGTTGCAAGACGCCGGAAGGACACCTAAACATGAGAACAAGGAAATAAAGGACGAAATCAAAACGCTAGCGAAGAGAAGCGCCACAGAGAGTGCTACTGGCATGAGTGGTTAGCTCGACTTGCATACCTGATAAAAGCCCCCTTATTGCCCATTTCGTCACAATAGTTCGGAGCACTAAATACAGTTATCTGAAAAGAACAAACACGCACAATGATGAGCCTGCTGTAGAACTGCAAAGCTGCAACACTATGCTTACCGCTAAACACCACTGCCGCATCCTGTTGACCGCTACATTCTAAAGGGTTAATGTCCCTTCATCGGCTCCATAAACCAAGCAAGTGGTGAACGTGAGAATGCAGCTGTCGGCAGATAAGCAGAGCAAGCAGGCGCATGTTACCAGTTTGCCGCCGTGTTCAACTTCATAACCCTCCTCTTTCATTTCGTGTGAACGAATAACAAAGCTCAAGTTGTTGTCCTTGAGGAACTTGGCTGTAATGTCGGGGCCGAACTGACATGCAACGCCTCTCTTTGATGGGGTCAGTCCAGGAAGTGGAGAGGGGTCAGACCACAACAAATCCGTCATCAGCACTGCAAGCAATGCCCATTCATAAGAAGTAAAGCGGTGCCGCAGATCCATGAACAGCACGTGCAACATGTAGACTGACCGCTGTGGCTGCCGAAGAAGAAAAAGCTACAGTAATCGGCATACACAAGAGCCTTCAACAGCACA